GTATTAAGAATTTCCTTGTAATACTTGACAGACTGACTTACAATTACGGTATCAGATATCACATCACACTTTAACTCTGTTGCCTGTCACTGATTTTTTTTAATATTTGCAAAAATTAGGTGGGTGAGATTCTATGCAGGAAATTCTCCCTGCTTGCTGTTTTCTAACTTCTTAGCTTTATTTTACAATTACATATTTATTTAAACTACATAATCTTAAATGATTCATACCATCCAATTCATAATATTTAGATGTCAGAAATAATATCATATATTATCTGTGATGTCCTAAACTACACATTATTATTTAGTTATACATTGTTTTTCTGGTTGGATGACTTTAATTTGATACCTAACCTAGTGGGTAGCTTAAGGGTGTGTGCTTAATATAAATGTATATTTAAATATAATATATAATAATTTATTACAATTTTTATATGTATATATTATTATGTAGATGTCAGTAGTTGCATAATAATTTGTAGAATTACATAATTGTGAGCTTTAAGTTTTGTTTTATAGTTTATCATGTGTACTTAATCCTATGGATGCAATAAAGATATTATTTATTTATTTATTCAGGATAACAACATTTTATTAATACTTAATCAATATAACTTAAATTATTAAACATGAAAAAACCAATTATAGTTATCCCCAAAGTAGATAACCAAACATAACACTGTAAATCTAATACAATACAAAATAAAATCGGTAAGAACTATTACTAAATAGTAACAAATTAATTGAAGTAATAATAATACCTTCGTGACGTATATTGTAATTGCTCGTATAAGGGAGCGTCGATAAAATAGAGCGGGTTTGCTGGCGGGATGTTAACTGGAGAGCATACAGTAGCAGTTAGATGAGCAATAAATAACACTTCTTGAGAGTTTCTTCTTATTTTATTTCTTGATTCCTTATTATTACATTGCCGGATTTGGAATATTTTACCACGAAAAACGCCCCTTTTTTACAAGCGGCTGTAACCAATCATAATTAAGAAAAAATCGCACACGGCATTAGTGAATCTATTGACCAATCAGAGCACAGAATAACCCTTTCTAAGAGAGATTTACAATTTTCTTAAAAAACGTGGTAAAACATACCTTACAACATTTATATTTATTCCTAACGATAGATACAACTTATTTCTATTATTCTAAACCTAAATTATTCAATAAACCTTTATTTTACACTTATAAAAAATAAAAATAGCTTCGCGGTCGCTTCACGGTTTAGCTCCGGAGTAGGATAGTATTTTTTGCCGAAAGTAGCGCCGCCAAGAGGTAGGAATGTACAACATTTTTTCAGGATTAATGCTTAAGAATCTATACAATATTTTTTCATAAAATTTAAATCTTTCTCATAATGAAATGACATTATATAGTGATTAATTGACATATTAATGTTTCTTTTGAATTACTTTAAAGGAAAAAGAATTATATTAATCACCTATATGTTAATAGCTCTTAAAGTTATGATAAAAAATCTTACTAGAAAATAAGCTTATACTTGCGTCTAATGTTCTAATCAGACCTAAATAATATTAAATAGATTCATATAAGTTACTTTAAGATAAGAATAGAAGTGTTTAATTTACTTTCCTGTTTTCAGCACTATCAGTCTTTACACTTAACTTTATTTTACGAATAGGAAACAATTAGAATTAAATACTATCACTTAGTTTTAAATCACTGATAAGGAATAATTAAGATTAAATGTTCGAATTCACTTTGTCGTCGCTAACAAATAGGAAACAATTAGAATTAAATACTATCACTTAGTTTTAAATCACTGATAAGGAATAATTAAGATTAAATGTTCGAATTCACTTTGTCGTCGCTAACATTCTCCCCCACGGTGCGTAGCACTGCATCCTCTGGAGGCGACGACTCCGCTGGCACCAGCACGATGACACGTCGAGTTGGACGGCGAAGTATTCCACCTGATGTCCGCACGTCCAGCACCCTGGTTCTTCCGTCTGGTCCGGGATAGGTTTTGACGATTTCACCGCGAGGCCATGAGTTTCGCGGTAATGTGGTGTCTACTATTAGCACGATGTCTCCTTCCCTTGGGTCTCTGGTTTCTTTCCCTTCGAGTTTCCTTGGCATCAGGAGAGGTAAGTATTCTTTAATCCACCTTTTCCAGAAGTGGTCTGCGAGTCTCTGGGTGGTTCTCCAGCTTGCCCTTCCGATGAGCTCCGTGTCGCTGAACTCTCCCGGCGCCATAGCTCCGCATGATCTTCCCAGCAGAAAGTGGTTCGGTGTTAGGCTTTCCTCGTCTCCTGGGTTCATGCTGATCGGGGTGAGAGGTCTCGAGTTGACGATGTGTTCAACCTCAGTCATTAGCGTATGGAGTACTTCCTCGGGCGGGCTCTTCTCGTTGAGGACTACTGCTAGCGCCGTTTTGACTGTTCGTACGAGCCTCTCCCAGGCGCCTCCCATGTTTGGAGCTCCCGGGGGGATGAACTTCCACTGGATGCCCTTTTCCTGTGCGGCCTCTTCTAATTCCCTTTTCGCTCCGACGAAATTAGTTCCGTTGTTTTCGGAGTTCCTCTTTTGGCTGCCATTCGTCGGAGTGCCATGATCATTGAGCTGGTGCTGAGAGAAGGTACCAGCTCTAAATGTACTGCTCTAGTTGTGAGACAGGTATATAAGGCTCCCCAGCGCTTCTCGTTCCTTCTTCCGATGGTGACTTGCATCGGCCCGAAGTAGTCTACACTGCCGTCATAATAGAGAAGGACGTAACTAACAAAAACGTAAAATGGAGATAAAAAATAAATAGATGAATTTTTCTTTCAGACCCTGCTGCGTCTAAAATATTTTAAAATGTATCAATATGAAAATTGAAATTGATAGTTAGAGACATGAAGATTTTAAAGACGAACTTTTTTTTTTGATAATTTGTTTATTTATTTAAATAAAACGGATTTTCCTTTTCATTTTAGCTTAAAAAAATAACCCCGGTAACGCAAACACTTCGAAGGAAAGACGCATATAACCATTTGCGTCTTTCCAACCTAGTAAATAAAAAAAACTGCCATTCTTTTAACATTTTTACATATCTCGGAAAGTTAATTTGAAATTGAATGGACGCAAATGGTCATTTACTACTTTTCTTCTTAGTAAGTATGTAACAAAATTAGACACAAAAAAAGTAACAACCCGCAATAAAGGGGTATCATACCAGACATACTACGATAAAAGGTGGAAAAACTTAAGAGAGTGGTAACATTAGTGAGGTTATTTTTAATATTAAATGCATTGTATTAGAGTCATCTAAACGTACTCAGTTACATTATGTAACACTCATAAAATCACTCTTAAAATATACCTTTTCCAAGACGTGCTAAATAAGAATAATAGACAAAAAACAATTATAATTTTGTTTATTAAGAAAATTAAAAAACTAAATATTTACGAATAGTTTCACATCAGGGTGTGACTAATAATCACAAAACCAAAAACTTAAACACAAATTAGTTTCAAAACATTTAAACAAAATAAATACCTCTAAAATTTAATAATTTACTTATTAATTATTTTCATATCATAGTTTTATTGTCATTGCAACCAATAAATCAAATTAATAGTTTCCCTTCAGTGTTTTTCTAAATTATCATAAGTTTTGAGCAATTTCAATTACATGATTAAAATATACTAAAAGCTATATCAGTCTAAAATTTGCTTTCACAGCATCAAAACCATAATTATACCTATAAAACTTAACTGGCACTTTTTCGTACATTTTTAAATGTGAAACGAGTGAATTCAAATTATTCTTAAATTTCTTTTAAACAGGGTTTAATTAAATTACTATATTTAATATTTGAGCAACAATCACTTTTGTTAAAATCTAAAAATGATAAGAACACGAAGGAAATTTATCCTTAATAACTAAAAACAGACTAAAGGCCTTTTTATTTCTCTCTACCACACACTTAGTCATTCTGTCAGCTTCTTTCTTGTAATAAATACAATGGAATAGAAGTATAACAGATATTTATCACTTAAAGCTAAACTCAGATTGAAGCTACCCTTGGCCTTTTTGAAATGTGAGATCAAAATACCCTTAAATATAAAAATAAAAAGAAGATTTGTACGTTCAGTCTTCATAATTCCTTGTAAGATCCCCCGCATCATCATTCACTGGCAAATTTTGCCAAAACACTCTTCTGTTTTCCGGCATGAGTGGCCCTAATTCCCTTATTATTTTCATTTTTCGTTCAGATGTAATACCCCTGAAAGTAAAATTTTGTTTGGGAGCAGGTATTCCATTTTTAATATTCTTTACCCTTAAGAAATGCAGTGAATGTTCATCACCATCGAAATTTGTTTTATAAAAAAGCTCGTATTGATAACCTCTGCGAAAAGTAATTTGGCACATATCATTTAAATATGCCCGTGGATTCGAGTTTTGTAACTTGTACCCAGAAGAGCAGTCATCAAATTTATAAAAATCCTTCACATTCATTTTTTTTACTGTAATAGATTTATAGTTAGTGCTTAAAACAGCTTGATAAAAGTCTTCGAAATCATAAATTCTTTTTTTATTTTTCATAGCCATTTCTACTCTATGATGAAATTCATCGGCAGCCATAAATGTGTGACCAACTTGAAGATATTTGAATGTAACAGTTTCAAATGAAACTTCAGCTGAATTAATGAGGTATAACATATATGAAAATAGAGCCCAATTTTTATTCTGAGCAGCGCAATTATCTAGCCAAAGCACTAAGTGCTTCATGTCACGATTTTGTAAAAAAAAATGCTCTAAAGCAACTTACTATGTCATCTTTCTTTCGACCAGATATAGCTTCATGCCAAAGAGCCGAAAATATTTGAAAATTTAAGGTTGTTTTCTTTTCTCCGATTGGTACGAAACTTTCATTGAAAACAATTAAGCGTGGACAGAACATCACTGCTTTAAATTGCTCCATGCGCGGCAACATTATAACTTTCTGTAAATCAACGGCGAAATATGCAGTATCAGAATCACCTTTCATATTATTTTGTACGTCAACATTACGCTGGTACTCGGCTCGAGCCAAAATGTACTTTTCGTGGTGAATCTCATAATTTTTACATTCCTCACAATTTCGGTGACGTAGATCAGTTCTAGGATTATGAATCAAGAATTTTTGACATAATTCACATTCCTCGTGACCTAATTTAGCAAAAGATATATTGCGATCTTTGACGATCTTACGGTAGTATTCGTATGAGATCAGTTTCTCCTGGTCAGTGCAGTGGGTCTCACAATAATCACTATACATTGCTCGCACTGTAATATCTGAAGACAAGTACCTTACATTGGGAGCATGCTCACGTCTATAATGCGATATCGTAGGATGAAATGATTCGACATGCTCTACTACATTTTCATTGTTAATTTTCTTGGGATTTGGATTCAAGCCCCTTTTATCCACATCTCCTTCTTTCATTTTTAAGGAATTTCTGACAACTTTATCATTTTTCCTATTAAAACCCAAAGTTTCTAGAAAAAATGTCTTACAGACATTAAATTTAGTACCGGCACTATCCAGTAAAAAGTAAGAAATAGTATTTTGTCTGTTCAGTATTCTTTCACCTAGTTTGGGCCTCTTTGGTCGCGTCATAGAAGTATTTTGTCTTATAAAAATCCTTTGTTCTGACCACGTCATATTTGTAAAAAAAAATATTAATTTCTTTGCGCCGGTCTTCTGAAATGTATGTGCTACATTTTTTTGCAGGATTCAGTACAGCCCTTTTTTAATTGGTACTTTTCCGTTCTCTTTTTCAATATTTTAATTTGTTTTCTGGTTTTTAACGACATCTCATATCTCTTTCTCTTTCTTATAGTTCCTTTTTTTAGTATATAATAAATCATTTTCTTCCTGCTCTGGTGATTCTGGGATTATTACATTTTGACTATTATCAATAAATTCTTCCTGAGAATCTGTATCGGAATCGGAGCGGTTTCTTTTGTAATCGGTAGGCGGTATAACTTAATCTTTGTCTTTGACAGAATCGTCAGAGTCAAAAATATATTGATCTGAAACTATTGGGGATAGTTTAGGAGATTCCTCCTCACAATAATAATTAAGCTCAGATGTCTTTAATTCTTTACTAATCTTTTTATGCGATAATAAATTTTCTTTATTTTCGATAGTCCCTTCAGCTGTTGTAAATTTATTTAAATCATCTTGAACAATGTTACTGGTCGGTAAAAGCAACTCTGAATCTCTGACATTTTCGTTCTGCATCTGACTCAACAGTATCAATTCATTATCTGATATTTCTACTTCAGTTTCCGCTGAATTTAGCGGATTTGAATCTGGACCCTGTATTACATTAGTTGCCATATTTAATAGTTTTAAAGATCTGCCTTTCTTCATTTTAGAAGTCTGAAAATAAAATAAATGCAGAATAATTAAAAATTGGTAGATAGTTTTTTTTGGTAAAGTGACAGACAGACAAAAATTCTTAAAACTATAGATTAAACCTATGTATCGATAATAATGACTATTTCAATAGGATTTTTCAAAAAATATTTATTGTACAGATTCGACTCAGTTTCAATTTATATGCATAGATAATTTTTATAATAAAAACGAATAAATGGAGACTTTACAAAATATGTTCAATACGTTTAACATTCTTACCTTCTTTCGCAACAAAACGTGACATGACCACACTCTCGAACGACTTGGGCGCAACTGACGATACATTCCTGCACTTCCCCCCTCTAACCGCCACGATGTACCCGAATTCTTAATAGAAAAGACCCAAGTGGCCACTTCTGTCTTTTCAACTTAGAAGTTAAATAAATAATATAATCTCAAGCCTATAAAAAAAGTCGGAATGTCATTTACGTCTTTTCAATTACAAAGTAATTTAATCATTGATGCTTAACGCGACGTCATTTGCGCCTAACTTATTATGTTAATCACTGTGAATACTAAAATGATTGGACGTAGGAAACCAAAAGCGTCTTTTTATTTTAAAACTATTAACTTATGTCTTTTCATTTAAGTAATCGATGCAAATATTGTTAAAGATGACGGAGCAACTGGTTAAATAAGTCTTTTCTTTTATGTTGAATTTGAATACGTCTTTTCTACTTAAAAAATATCATTTTTGATCAGCAGTTGCGTCCAAAACTCTTACGGTATTTTCTAAAATATTGATATTTTAGGGAATTAAAAAAAATTGAGTAGATGCGCCGTTTTATCCTGAGTCGAATGGTATATTCAACTCATTTTGTCAACAAATGTTAGATGTGCCCTTTTTTCTTATGACGGCAGTACAGCTGTGCAGGAGAACGGAAATTGATGATGCTGCAATCTTTCACTCGGCAGATCTCCCGTTGGTGGTATCTCTGGTGAACTCTTCTTTGTCTTGCACCATTGACAGCTGTGTGCGACCGCTTTTAGAGTTGCTCTTAAACCCAAGATCCAGAACCTTTGACGAATTTCGTTCATTACTGTAGCGGTGTTTCCGTGAAGGAATTTCCTGTGATAGTGTTGTATTATTAGACGAGTTATTTTTTGTTTTCCGTCTAAAATGATAGGATTCATTATTCTTCCGTTTTGATCGTGGAATTTCATTGTTCTGCTCCTTAATTTAATTATTTCGTCGTCTCCAATGTAAACGTCGATTTTCTTGAGTCGACTCGAATTTTCTAATGGCTTTTCTGACTTCAGTTTTCTTATGTCTGATGCAAAACTATCGTTCTGGCTTATTTTTATTAATATCTCTTCGGCCTTTTTTAGGTGTTCTGCTTCTATGTGTGAGTATAGGCGTTTATTTTCACTTCTGCTGGTCGACGGGATCGCGGTTTGTGCTTTTTTCTTCTGGATTTTTTGTGGTTTCCAGGACTCATCCTTCTGGCGTGCGGCGGTGGTGGTCGCTTTACGGCTCTTCTTTAGTAGGTGTGTAAAGGCGATCACTCTGGCTGTAGTGCGCAGCAGTCGCTCCCAGCTCGAGAACCTTTCTAGGTTTAGTAGAGTGTCTTCTGCTGCCATTGTTGCCAACACCTTTTGCTTGCTTTTTTCTTCTGGCATAACAATTTCTGGTTTGAAGTCGTGGAATGGCCATTCTTCTTCTGGTCGGCGGAGAAATGACGGGCCTTTGAACCATCTGGCGTTGTGGTCGAATTCGATTGGGGTTCCCCTCGTGGCGTCGTCCGCTGGATTCTCCTTGGTTGGCACCCATCTCCAGTCTTCTGGCTTGGACCTTTCTTCGATCTCGGCGAGTCGGTTGGCCACAAAAGTTTTGAACTTCCTTGGTTCTGACTTTATCCACTGCAGTACTGTGCTGGAGTCGGTCCAGTAAACCTTCTTCGATATGTCGAGCTCTGATTCCTCTTCGATTGTGGCGGCTAGTCTGCTTCCGAGTAAGGCCGCTTGTAGCTCTAGCCTCGGAATTGACACAGGTTTCGTCGGCGTTACCCTTGCTTTGCCGGCGATCATGGAGACATGGACCTTTCCTCCGGGCTCTACTATTCTCCAGTAGACTACTGCTGCATAGGCTTCTTCACTCGCATCGGAGAACGTGTGTAGCTGACCTTTTCTGCCTTTGGGTGAGACGCATCTCGGGATCTTCAGCCTTGTTAATGTTGAAACTTCTTCCAGGTATTTCATCCAGGCTTCTTTTTGATGTTCGTTGATAGGTTCATCCCAGTCTATTTTCTTTCGCCAAATGTCTTGGATTAGTTTCTTTCCTTGTATTAGAACTGGTGTAGCAAAACCCATTGGATCGAAGGTGGACATTACTGCGCTTGTGACTTCTCTTTTTGTTGGAGTCCTTCTGCCGTCTTGCAGGTCTTCCGGCGTGTTGCGTAGCCCGACGTTTAAGGCTAATGCATCTTCTTTCACCAGCCATCTTAATCCCAGAGTCTTCTCTTCCTTGGTCAGTTGTAAGGAGTTTTCTTTGTTTGTGTCTTCTACCTCTGATATTACCCCCCGAGTTGTTGCTGGCCCATCCCTTCAGATGAAAGTTTGCTCTTGCGTGAATGTCTTTCACTTCTTTGGATATCTTCTTTGCTTCGGTTGTAGATGCGAAGCTCTGCAGATAGTCGTCCATGTAGTGATTTCTCTTAATTGCTTTCACTGCTTCAGGATGAGTGTTCTTAAATTCCTCTGCGTTCTTGTTCATTACGTATATTGCTGTTGCAGGTGATGACGCTGCTCCGAAGATGATTGAAGACATTCTATACTCTTCAGGCTTGCCGGTTCTTCGGTTTCCGCGCCACAGGAACCTGAGACTGTCTCGGTCGTCTTCTCTGACTTTTACTCGGAGAAACATGTCTTGTATATCTGCCATGACGGCTACTGGTCCCTCTCTGAAACGCAGCAGTACTCCGAATAGTGATTGTAGCAAGTCTGGGCCCGAGAGCAAGGCGTCGTTGAGGCTCTTTCCTTCGTACTTGGCAGCTGCGTCGAACACTATTCTTAGCTTCTTCTTGACTGGGTGTACAACAGCGAAGTGGGGTAGGTAGAATGTCCTTCCTTTGTTAGAGGTTTCTGGAGCCTTCTCTGCGTATCCTTTTTCGATTAGACTCAGGATCTGCTCCTCGTAGTGCTTTCTTGCTTCTTGATCACGATCCAATTTTTTCTCGATGCTGACCAGGCGTCGAACAGCTTGATTGTAGTTGTTGGGCAGGCGTTCATCTTCTTTTTTCCACAGGAGACCCGTTTCATATTGACCGCTTGGCAGTTTCTTGGTAGTTTTCTCGAGGGTTTCTAATGCTCTTCTGTCGCTGTCGTTAGATGGTGAACGATTTTGGATCCCTAGAGACTCTAGTTGGAAGTGTTCTCGGACGAGGTCTTCTATGTCTTCCTCGCCAGTGGTCGCTTTGCCATAATGAGTGAAGTGTACTGTGGCAGTTGTTCCTGATTCACATCCGTGTAACACCCACCCTAAGTTCGTGAGGGAAGCTACAGGATCTGATGGTTTGCCCTTCTTCAGTTTTCTTGTCACTATCAGTCCCCAATTGTCTTGGCCTATCAGTAGCTTGGGCCTCTCGGTGACGTAGAGGAGTTGATTTTCAATTGCCTTCAGGTGCTTACAGTTTCTCACGGTGTCCTTGTTTATGCATTGTTCAGACAGCTTCAGGTCGTCGATGGTCCTTGCTACGATAGTTCTCTTTTCTTTCCTATGAACCCCTTTTATTTTGAACTCGATCTTCTGTGAACTATCTTTTCTTAACACCTTTCCGCCGACGGTTTCGATCGTGAGTTTTTCTTTATTTCCTTCGACTCCGATTTTCTCAGCGATTGATGCGTCTAAGAGTGTGACCGTTGACCCTTCGTCTAGTAGTGCCAATACGCGAACTTGTCCTTTTGGGCCATAGAGGTTCACGAGGATCATCTTTAGGTAGGCCTTTTCTTCTCCTTTGGCGTTATGAATTGAGGCGACCTTTTCTTCTGAGGTGCTGTTGGTGTCTTTTGCTTCTTTTTCTATCGACGCCGGTGGTTTGTCAGAATGTAAGATGGTATGATGCCATCTTTTGCACAGCTTGCAGACTGGTGCTTTACAGTTGATTCTTGAGTGTCTGAATCGAAGGCATTTGAAGCATATCTTTGCCTTCTTGGTCATATCCCATTTTTCATTCAGGTTGGCTTCTTTGAACCTTTTACATTCTAATGCGAAGTGTTCTTCCCCACAGAACGGACACGACTTCTTATATTTCTCTTTTGACGCTTCTTGAACCAAATGAACGGGTTTTCTTATTCCTCTTCTTTGTTCTGAGGATGCTTCGGGCGGGGCGAAGTCTCCGCACATGTCGGCTTCTGTTTCTAGGAACGCTTCGATAAGTAATAGCTCCTGAATTTCCTCATCTCTTCTGCTTCTGTGGTAGGCGAACCAACGGAACTTCATTGACGTCGGCATCTTGTCTACTATAATTCTCAGCGTTTCAGGTGAACTGAGATACTGTGGTTTCTTCAAGGCTTTGATTGTCTCGACTGCGTTCTTTACTTTGCTTGCAAATATGCATATGTCGCTCGGGTTTTCGCCAACTCTTGGGAGGTTCTTCATTTTCTCTAGTTCTGCTAATGCTAGTGCTCCAGGTCTTCCGAATCTTGCTTCCAGTCCCTTAATCACTTCGCGTGGGTCTTCGGCGGTGAACAGCAGGCTTTGGACGGCTTCTCTAGCTTTTCCTTGGATCGCTATTCTAAGGCGCGCTAGGTTTTGATTGCTACTGAAAGAAGCAGCCGTATCCTCGTATGATCTTTTGAAGGCTAACCATTCTTCGCAGGCCCCGTTGAAGTGAGGGAGTTCGAGGTGCTTCGGTGAAACGGTGTCACGTGATTTTTCTGATAGCTTTAGTATGACTGAAGCTAGTTCCTGGATGTCACTTTTCTTTTCTTCTGCCTCTATTGGTTTGTGGTTCTTATTAGGC